CTCACATAAATTACATTACCGTAATACCTCCCGCACGATAATAAAAGGCTCTAGCAAAAGAAGAATGGGGAACATCTTTCGCACGTCGAAAATATGAATGGGCCAAGCGATGGAATGATCTTTCGCAAATTTTTGGGAAGTGTATAAAAACCCGATAAATTATAAGAAATTCGTCACCCGCATTCACAGATTTTATAATACGGGTTCGATTTTAAATAGAGAGAGTAGACGTCCCGTTTAAATTTTTACTGCCTCCGTGAAATGGGATAAAAAGGAATTCATTGAGAATCTCCTTTCACTTCGAGTTCTATTATACCAATTTGGACAATTGAAGACTGAACGTGTGAGTTATGAGTGCAATTCGCTCACTTGCAATTAGTCTCTACTATCTAATGCTATGCATCCACAAACTCATAACTTTATTCATGTACCTACATTTCGGTAAAGGTAGATGCAAACCTGGCATCAGCACTCGTAAACTTTGGCCTACGAAAGGGTGCAGGTTAAGCGTAAAACCTAATTAAAAAGTTTGCAAGTTGCACATGTTACAAAATCCCTAACAAATGGGGTATTTCAGCCAGCTATATTTCGAAACACTGAACCGTCCATAAAATTTATAAACACAATTCAACAGAATGGGTTCAATTTTATATAGGTCATTTAAAAAGACAAAAAACGCTTGAACGTACTTGAAAAATTGATAGTTAAACGCACCTCAAGGATTTTTAAATCTTTTCAAGGTTCTTAAACGTCTTAAATACAAAATACTATTGTAAACCTTAAAATCCAATACTTTTAAAGTTTAAAGGCCCAATGCATCTTGGAGGCTAATTGACAATATTGCTACTTTTAAAGTGCCAAGAAAGCTCTTACACGTTTAAAGGTCTTATGACTCTCTGCTGAAGACTCTTGACACCTCTTGAAGTATTTTGAAAATTACAAATCTCTAGAAGGGACTTAGATCCTCTTGGCCACTTTTGAAGGCTCTTGAATACCCTTTAATTAAAGATGTGTAGATGTTATTGAAACTATAAAACTTCAGAAGGGTTTTGTTTTTTTTAACACTCTTAAAGACCAATAACCACGCTTTTAAAGCCTTCTAGACAATTTTGGGAGCCTCTTAGAGACAATTGCAAACTTTTGAAAATCTCACAGGCTCTGAAGTAGATATACAGTGGCGAACCTGTCCCAGTTCAAGGTCGCTAGCCACCCGGTGGTGACCTTGGAAAGTAGGTCAAGGCAACATACCACGTGCAGTGACCTTAAAAAATTTGTCAAGGTTCATGGACATTCCCTGTGAAGGTCATCGGAGGCCAATTACCCCATTTTGCGTTTTCATATTTTACTTTCAAGGTAACCAAAGATCGACTGTATCAAAACTACTGGTTATGTAATCAAACGTTATATCAAGGAGTAGTCGAAAATTATATTGAACTTCGGACTCAGAAGGGCGCGTTCTGCCTAATCTGCAACAGAAATAAACAAATAATAGGGGTAGTGAATAGCGCGACCCATAACATATTGCAAAAGCGGCAGTCGGATATTAAACCGTAGTTAATAGTGAATAAGAATTTCAACAACAAATAACGTAACTAAACATTGTAGATATCGGTTTCGGACAAAGTCTTAGTACCTTCAAAAACTAGTTTACAGAGCAACGGTATTTAATATCGGTAAACAAAGTAATATACAAGATATGAAACGTAGTTAGGCTAGCACAAATGAATCTTCGGAATAATTGCAGGTAATGTAGATCAAATCGGGTCTCTAAAATTATATTCTTCGGCAACGACAGAAGCAGCGTAAGTAAAATCAGATATATCGGAGCCATTTACAATATTAATGTTCTCCAAAGGGTTTCGTTGTACTTGTGGTTACAACAGGAACCATATCGAAATCTCCATGTACAAACTTCGAGTAGGTAGTGATGTTGTTAAATGAAGTAGATTCACCAGCTTAATGTTGGTAGAATGAAGTAGTATTTTCCAAGCCGGTAATGTAGAAATTCAACTACTGCGTGACGTTCGCCAATATGAACCCTGCAAAAATGGCGGGTCCAGGTAAAAATGCGATCTCAATCACGTACTCCGCAAGTAGTAAGTAATATCCAGGTACATCATAACGTAAAAGGCAATCCAAAGAAAGAACGATAAGAACTAAGAAATCTATAAGCAAAGTTTGAGGGAAGATAAAGCTCTATAAAAACGTATTAAGAAAAATGCCGAGTAATCATCTAACCTACCTCGTACTGATTAGTTGCAAATACAAATCCACTTAAAGCGTTTATCAATGGAGCACAGCCACAGACATCGAAAGAAAGAGAAACCACTCCAAAGATATATGGAGTCAAAATCAAAGGCCTTATACAGGTAGACAACGAAGTCAGTAAAGGTAATGGCGTACCAAAGAAATAACTTGCATCCTTCACTGAAAAGGAACGAAATGCGTAAGCAGAAAGAAAAGAAGAGATGGAGTTCTGTGCAGAAAGATACAAAGCGTGAACTATAGCGACAACAGAATGGAGTAAGGTCATTGAACTTTGATGATCTTGAAAATAAAATGACATTTGCATTACAAGAATTGGCTCTGATGATCCTTATGACCTTGCAAATGTAACATTACACTGAATAAAATTGTAGGTCTTTGAACTGAGGTGGTTGAGTGGTAGAGCGTTGGGCTACATAGTCGGAGGTCGGATGTTTAGTTTCCAGCCTTCTACCGGCTATTTCGAATTAGGTTTTCATTCAGTTTTCCTAATTATAAATAATATAAATAATATATTTGCTTGTTATTATACAAGATGTACTTACAATTGTCAAAAATATATAAAGTATAAGTATATAGGTACAAATATAACAGTTGTGTAACGTAAAAAACATGGACATTATAATATGATATGACAAACTACATAGAATACATTAAACAGATTTATCACACTTTATCACAGATGGTACTATTTAAGAATTCTTCATAGTGGCAGAAAGGATTGTTTAGCAAATAACATTTAATTTTACTTTTGAGACTGAATTCATTAAGTGTGCGCCAATTATATGGCAATTTATTGTATAATTTATAAGAAATGTAAATAGATTGAGTTTTTGACATTCTCTTAAAAGGAATATATAAGTTCTCTCTCGTTCTTGTATTGTGACTATGAATTGTAGAACAAGTGGTGCTGTTTAAAATACCATGTTTGTGAACGTGCACAACTGAATGCAAAATGAAAACACATGGCAAAGTTAAAATTCTTAATTTTACAAAAGACAGTTTGCAGTCCTCTCTGTAATTTTTATTGTCAAGCACTCTGACAACACGTCGTTGGATAGAATTCTTAAGGTAGGGATAATAATTAAATAAATAAATAAATAAATAATTAAATAAATAATTAAATAAATAAATAAATAAAATAATTAGTGACCTTGAAAGCAAATGCCTTTGAGCTCCACTTTGACCTACATTCCAAACTCACTCGCGCGGGACCGTGACTGCTTTTCAAGGTTACCACCGGGTGGCGAGGGACCTTGAACTGGTCCAGATCGTCCTTAATACTTCTATTCTCTACTAATGTTACAATCGTTAATGATATATGTAACAATTAATAATTAATATAATTAATAACACTCAGAATCAACACATCAGAATCAAGGAAATAACTAAAACTTCTCCAGTCAATACAAAATTCTCCCAAAACTCGAAGAAAACTGTAGAAAACCCAATCCAACTAAATTGCTAATGGAGATCCAAAACACAACCATTCCCCATGAAAATATTTAATTGTACAATTTAAATTAAAGGTGTTTAAAGCGTACAACGCTGCTAGTTTCGGCAAAAAACAAGGCCATCATCAGGCTAACGTTACAATGAACGTGAAGTTTAAGTTGCAAAATTGTTTAAACATTGAAATAGAGGACAACGAAGTTACATCAAAAATTTAGTTGGAAAGAAGTTCAAAAATTTTCAAAATTTATAACAATGGAGGTTGTAAAGGGTGCAATAGATTGTGAAGCAACCCTTACAATAGACTAATATCGAAGATTTATATTGAACCGATTGTTAAAGCGTACATGACGCCGTACAAACATGACTAAATTGCGACCCACAAAGATATAGGTCCAATCACCAGAAATAATCATAATTGTAAATTGCAATTAAAACCCCATGTGTCGAACTAAGGCGTGCTGACCGTAGAGTGACGTCCAGAAAAGGAAACTGGAAATGCAAGACAAATGCTGCTTGCGTAGAACAAAAATCCACCGACAGGTAAAATTTAGGTATTGCCAGCGAATCGCAAAAAATTCATTCAACTGTCGACTTCGTTAGAGAAAGAGTCTTTTAGAAAAAGTATTGGTTAATTCGCAAATGCTTCAGTGGCGTTTACAAAAAGTGCAAAAATTACCTTGCGATTTCCTCAATAACTTTGTTTCGAGGTAAAAAAAATAAACTTCTGTTAACGACCGATGGTTGCTAAGGGCTTATGAATGAAGTTAAATTTGATAACAAATTATTATGAGTGTGTGATAAAAATGAAAGATATATGTTTTGTATGGGAGTTTTTTAACAACTTATTTCCTAAATAACGGCGAAAGTACAGGAATTAGCTAAATAATTTTTGTTTCATGCAAATGTCGGAACCTTATATACTTATTTGAATGAATGCTATTTCAACCAAAAATTTGTACCCAGAAGGCAGTTATTGTGGAAACAAATTTCCAATTTTTCAATGTAAACGCCACCTTAATAAATTATAAACAAACGCTTTCTTAATTCTAATTTTGGAAAGATCACACGGGAAGAAGGCTGATGTAATTTAATAGCAATAGCTCTTCCAGAAATTATGGATTCCAAATGTTGTGGAGAGAGGGTCTTTAGGAACGGCAACTAACTTTGTTGTTATTGGATCTACGAAGTCTGTTAAATTGACAAATATGGAACAAGATCTTATACAAAACAACAAGCCTGTTGTAAATCACTTAAGTTTTTTTAAACGATTACCTTTCTGTTTTGTATTATTTTATTTTCTAACTTCTAGTATAAATTAAAATATTTACTTATTATAAACACTTATGTTAAGTATATAGGCACAGTATTCTATTATAAATAGCTTAACCTAAAATACAATTTAGCGTTGCCTCCAGGGCTGAAAGTTCTTAGTTCTTCTACAATTCAATACAAAAGCACCGATCGTAATTACGAAACAAATAACATAAAATAGAGTCATGGCGATCGCAGGATTGCCGTAACTGTGGTGTTGTCCGACCAAATATCCAAAATTCGAAAGAACCTGCGTTCCATTTGGCGGGGGACAAGGTAATTGCACTATAATGTCTTGGTGTTGCACCTAAAGCTATATGTTAGCAAAGTAGTACCTACTGGTGATTTTGGCTCACCTGTTTATTTCTACATAAAGTCGTGGCTAAACTACTTGCTATGGCCTCGGGTGTTAGCTCTTGATTTATTAAATACGGTAGGAGCCACGAAGTTGGGCTTAGATATCGCAACCATTCAATGTATACAGTCAAATCTTTAAAATGTACAAGATATCCCGATGACAATGAAAATGCACTGAAGATTACGCAGGAGATAATGGTCGCCGTCTTCGAACATGGAACCATGTAGACTATTGTCGTAACGAAAATTTGGACGCAACTAAGGTATAGCAACATCAGCCCTACAAGTTAATGCATCGGTGCCGATATAGTTATTCCATTTCGTTTACCTATGTATATGTAGAAACCATTGTAATTGTTTGGGCCCTGCATATACAGTCCACACATAGAGTAACTTGGCACTAGGTATACCAGCCAAATGAATAGCGACGGCAGAAGATTGAATATCACCTAAAAAACATAAAGATAGATCCATAACCTATTGTGATACCTCGGTTGTTTGCGTAGGATATTTAAAGTCTCGATTTCAGCAGACGGCGTTTATGGTTTCAAATAACAAATTCCCCCTCGGTTTACATAATGCACCCGCAAAGTTGACACTAGATTCGCTCAATCATGGTAAAATTATAAACTGGCATTGGGTCGAAATTATATCTGGAATGGTACTCAAGGCCCATTATTGAAAAGCAACTTGATCATAAAATGGAAAGGGCGTTTATATTATATTTATATTATTAATTGTTCTTTGTATGAGCTTTTAATTTCAACACAAATAATAAAAACATGCCTGTCTACAGGAGGAGGCACGATCAGGGCCCGGGTTATCTTTTTAGCGCATCTTGCCGCCCCCTTGAAAGTAGCACCCTGGTCTGTAGCCCAATTAGCCCATTTATGACCCGGAGCCTGGGTACGATACCGTAGATTGGACTGATTCCGCAGTCACTGCTACCTACCTTCACAATAACATAAATTAGTCTTCCATACAGCCCATCTTGTATGTCCCTGTTAACAGTGAAGACATTTCTGCGCAGTTCTCGTAGCGTTAAAGTCAGAATAAGCGGCCAAACCGTCAAACACATCACGACGTAGTGATATCCAAGTCTATCGTTTAAGTTTAGTTGAGAGTCACTATTAGGCACATCCCAAAATATAGCACCAACTATTAACGATAAGCTCGCCGACATTATCACTAAGAAGATCCAGTTGATAAACGTGCTTGGTTGAGTATAAAACATGGCTCGTCTAAAACGAGGGAGTGATATTGAAGTCAAATGATCGCTCACTTACGTAAATAAAACAATGGCTTGAGCAAAACAGTTGACATTTTTCGTGGTCATTGAAAGTTGCGAGGGCGGACCGGGATCGCTCATCGGTTCCTGTTTCTGCCGGAACAGTTCCGCTAGTTGTTCGATGCGCTGCGAGGATTCCAGCATCGCTTCCGCCGAAAGGTCGTCTAGCGTCACTAAGTCTAGGTAATAATCTGATGGGTTTTTAAAGGACGGGCAGGGATAGTCGACCATGGAGAAGTAAGGGATCATGTTCTTCCTTTTGCCGCTGTACATCGTTCTTCCCGCGGAAATGAGGACGATGCGTGAGAGCATCGTAAATATTTCGTAAGTCGGAGGATGGAGTGTTAATATAACTATACGACCTAGAAATGCTAATGAGACATGATACACTTGTAACAGCGGAAATACCGAGCGAATTTCCACTTCCTCCCGTGGCCCACTGTCTTAAATATTCTATTAGGAAGAATGTGTCAAATATATCCATTCCCTTCGTCGGTTGATCCAGCAACACTACGTCTGTGTCCAAAAGTAAGTGACAGGCTACATTTAGGCGGCGCGTTTCCGATATCGTCATCGCCGAAACCTTTGTATTTCTCACTTGTTCTAATCCTAAGTCTTCTATTAAAACATTAATCTGCAATCCAAAAGTTAACTTACAGTTACAAGATAGTAACCTACCCTATCCATGGCATCGATTTTTAAATGGTCTAATTTAGCTGTGGGCCTTTTGAGATCATAGTGAAACCTGAGCGTTTGTAACGCCGTCATATCTTTGCAAAGATTTGAGTTATTTTGAGTGTATGCAACTCGCGGCTTCAAAATGCCGGCACTAACGCCGCGTCCGTTAAGAATAATATCACCGACCGCCGGTTTCGTCTTTCCGGCGATTACATCTAACAACGCGGTTCCTTCTTCTTCAGATGTCGCCATGATCGCGACAACCTCACCACCGCGCGCCTCGAATGAGACATTATTTATAAGAAGGTGCTGATTCGCCCCCAAACACGTTGACTGGGGCCACACTCCGATTTCGCACATCTGCAAATAGCTTACTAAGGAGGGTGGTTTTAGGAGCGCAATTACCTGTAAATGGGGGTATATGAATGAAGGCCCAATTTCGTCGTCGCGATTTAAATAGTCGCCCCTCATAACAGAATGTCGCCGCCGTGAGGCCGGTAGCGAAATGTGACTTTCAGTAGGTCGCCCTAAATTGCTCATCGCACTAAAATTGGAATTTTAAGATCGTATTTTTTTCGTCTCACGTACCTGTGGTCAACAACATCGTGCATATGAGCGCCAAATTCGGCGACGCTATTCCGTCTCGAATCAACCCACCGACGGTTTGCCGTTCGACCGTATTCGGCGGATAACAAATTCGCTTCCGAATTACTTTTGTGCCTGTTCCATTGGTCCGTGGTTTTAATTCCACCCTGCTGTAGCGCGGCTAGAGGTACTTCCGGTGGTCCTGCCTACAAAAGTTCAATGGTCTGTTAAAATGTTAGACATCAAGTGTGATTCATTGTTTTGACTCCTTGCCAGAAAAGGAAGTGCATAACGGCGCGGTACGTTCAACTACCATTTCCTCCGGAAGATCAATTTCCATTGATCGACAAAAGTGAAAGTTACAAACAAATCAAAAGTGTGTGGCCACAATTTATAAATAAATGAGGCGTGTAATATACGCGTTCCCATGAATTTTAGGGGTCATTACTTATAGGAAATTCGGCCCTACCCCGTGTCCGTGATGATACGATGGATGAAGATTCTGCATACGGAAGTCAGGGTCGGAGCGGTACTTCCTGCTTTGTTTGTATTGATTTGTTGTTTCGTTGTCGGAACTGTCGTAGCCTGAGCTGCCTTCCCTTGGGCCTCTAGTTCCCGCTTTAGGCATTCTAAAACATCGGTCACGAAATTGTTAGTCAATTTTACATATACGCACCGAGTTCGAGGGCGTGTTGAAGGTCCCCTGTTGATTTGCTGCGGCGTACCAGATGTATTGGACCCACCTTGATTTGGTGGAAAAACTCGTGGCAAGCCAAATTTTAAGTAGGTGTACATGTTGGATCCCAAAGCTGATCTAAAAAAGGCTTTAGTTGCGTTCTCCCGACGGATGGACTTACTTGGGCCCATATCTTGGATGCGACAGGATGGATTGAACCGTCGTGTCTCTCAACTGAAAGTTTCCATAAGGCAGAGGACTTTTATCGGTCGAACCTAAAGCACTATCCGTGAAATCCGAATTGAGATTTTGTCTGAAAGTGTAAAATTAGTAGTGTGGTAAAGAATGCAAGTGCCACACCTGTAGATGGACCACGCATGCAGATCTTCACTAGCGGCACCTGAGAATGGTCGAAAATCCGGGTTAGATGGAACTGAATACTTCCGTTCCATTTCATAACTCTGCGATCCACCCCCTTGAGAAGGGGTCCGACTTCTTACCATCTTTTCTTACGCTCTCAGCGATCTGAAACAATATTCCGTTTAACCACAAGTCTCAATGAACCGAAACGTTATGTAAACCGATGTAGGTGAATACTCTTAGAAGCATTTAGCATACATTGATGAGATTTGTTTGTAGGTTAATACCCAAAGGCGCTTAACTAGATCTTAATCACCTCATGAAATGGCATGAATTAGAGAAATTAGTAGGTAAAATTATCAAATTAACATTATGTGACCAATTTTGACAGTGTATTAAATGATTTAAACAAAAAAAGATTATGTAACGGTTAATTTTGATGTAACATTAATGAGATAAAACTTTATCTATTATTAAATAAGTAGAGCATGAGAATGAGGTATTGTTCCCAAAATTCGACATTTTCATTATGCGATCTGTAAGAACTGCGTGACGAGACGTGGTAATAAATAAGAAACGACGCATTTTAATCAAAAATGAAAGATATTCGCCGAAAAGAGGTTTTTCTACTTAATGGGCTTTTTACTTCCGTTTTTTTTGCACCAGTCTTTTTAGGGAAATATGGAATGTGATATTAATTTCTCCATGAGTAAAGATCTACTATATTCAAATGTAAATTTAATCAATTCGGCAAGAGTACAAAAAACAACGCGGAAATATATTATTATGACTACGTTATGCTTATGGAGCATGTTGACGGTGCTTATATACCTCACTGTATAGTGTGTTCCAACAGAGTCAACACTGATGTGAATTTTATTCTTATGGAAGCTACAAAGTCTGTTCTAATCAATCTTATCATATGGATGATGTATTTTTACTCAGGATAACTGTGGTCAAATTGAAAAACAATTGAGCATAGGGTGAAAATGTTCAATATATAACTACCCTTAATTGATTACTAACGGAGCTGTAAATCATTACATATTAAGTGATGTTTATTAACATTGGAAGCTCCAATGCAGTTTACCTTAGCCTACACCTAGACCAACGACTAACATGGAAAAAGCACATCCAAACTAAATATGAAATATCTGACATATGTAGTGGCAAACCCACTAGGAGTAAGACAATATTCATTCGTCACTGACTTACTTACACTTAAGCACGCCCAAAATTACTACGACAGACTCTAGGGCTACAACAATGATCTCGTACACCAAATGAAGACTAAATTGGATCTGGCCTCATGACATGCAAGCAACATGGTCCTCCGACGAGCAGGAAGTACACGTTAGAGAAGACTGCTGGGTATCGGCACCAATTAGTTAATAACTCATCTCTTTCGGGTCAAATTTGAAGCATTACCTACTCATTATAGTAGTTCAGGTGTTCGTTTGACAATCGACTTCAAAAGACGGCGAGTTTCCGATGTGAAAATTAAATGCGGTAATTACGTACCTTTATTTATTATTTAAATTGTGTAATAATAAAAGCGTATAATTAGTGATGATCTCAGAGTGGTTCATTCTGTTTTTTACAAAGTAGTTAACGGTAGTGTATTGGCTAGAGCTGTTTATTGAAATATTTACTGTGCTTCATATAGCTTGCATCGCAGAACATTGTAATTACACATAAATTATGATACTAATCATTCAATCACCATAAATTCCCAGCATTTTTATATTTATTTGTACGTTTTTCCACTATAATCTCGTTAACGTTGCTTTCTTTAATTGATGTTATTTGCCGGTATTTCTAATTGCTGCGTTACGCCACTGCCCCTGTTATGTGAGCTGCCGGCGGCAAACTTGGCACTTTACACTTTTAAAATAAGGAATGTCAAAGACACTACAACAAAACCGATAAGTATAGGTCTACGCCATACCTAGAATTATGAAGTGCAAATGAAATTACTAGATACTTCAAGAGAGATCTATTCTAAACTTCCAGTAACATTTATTTTCATCGAACAGTTTTTGAATCGTTTCGGGTTTTTTAAAGATTTTTTGAAAATGTACTGTATTTTGGTTGGATTTGAAGGAAATATTAGTTTTGAAGCGCGAATCAAACAAAATCTGGATTATGTTGGTCGGTCTGTCTGTCTGTACTCTCATATCCGGCTAAACGGCTGAACCGATCGGATCTAAATTTGGGTCACATATTCTTAAACGTAAAAGGAAAGGCTTTTGGGCGGAATCGCACATGTGTGTTAAAATCACAAAAAAATATCCATTTTTGACGTTTTTCCATATTATGGCTAAACTATGGCGTAGGGCATCCCAGACCGACCCGTTCGAGTTCCAAGGAAAAACTTGATTGAAAAACTTTCATTTCCACTACACCATCCTATAATTCAGCCCACACATCTGGTACCCTTAGTAGTAAACTCCAAATTGCCGTTCGGCTAATTTTCTGTACTTGTTCAGTCGAAAAGCACAAAAGCTTTTTTTCGCATTAAAATAGTGACGCGTGCGTGACAGGCATTAGCATAATCTACAGTTGGATTGCAATATTAAAATAAAAACATGACTATTTTTCCATAAATTTACGGGATATTTTCGTATATAACCATACAAAAAATTAATTGCTAATATTAGTATAATATATAAACGGTAAACATTTAAACAATAAAGGAGTGAATGTGGAATCCTATAAAAGTGATGTAGGTATACCAGTATAACCAACTTTTCATGGTTTGAAAATACTTGAAGGTCGTATCCATAAACAAAGCTTACGGGTGGCGTTAAGCTCATAAAAATTCAACTTTATCTGTATATAAAATTTTTCACTTTAAAACAGCATGTAAATGTTCCATGTCGTGGGCAAATATATAAACCAGAACACACCAAGTTCAAGTTCATTTCATGGCTTCTAAACGAACAAAAAAAAGACATTAGGTATTACCATTTTTTACGTAATCAAAAATGTTCACAGGTAATTAACATTGAAGAAGTGCGTCTGCTATAATAGTTACAGTTATTTAAACATTAAGACGGTTCGAACGCAACTGTACAAGCCGTCATCTGTTAAATGTTACATCATTTTTTTTCATGATTCTTTCCATCAATTTAACCTTTTTCGGAATTACGCTCAGTTACCGGAAAGTGTGTTAATCTGCGTGTACGAGCAATTCAATTTTAATGTATTCATTGAAATCGGTGTATTCGTAACCTTCCTATTCATTATTATTGGAAATTAATGCAAAGATTCCAATCAAGTCAATTTTTTTGGCCAGTATTTTGACCATCGCTAGACGAAACGGTCCGGTACCTGAAATTGGTAAATTTTCCTAGAATTGTGAACTCATCGTGTTTGTTGACCTTCTGCTTTGTGTAAACAAAAGGTCACTTGATGAAGAACGCCGAGACAATAAATTCCTACGCTCTACCTATACAGAGCATTGAAATTACTCATTATAAAAATTCCTTGGTCATAGAAGGAGACCAGTAAATATTAAGTACTTCACCGCGCTAACCTATTTTCAAGAACAGCAGTCTTACTATGGAAACATTTTGTAATAATGTAAGGCGAATGCTGTAGAAAACATTTCAGTCAAAAAGTAACCCCCGGAATACAATTTAGATCCCATATTTATGGAATAATTTTATTTATTCTAATTGCCTTCATTTTTAAATGTGAGGGATTTCAGTCAAAGCAATCAAACCCGCTCTACACTTACAAAAATTCAAGCCCGATTGATCCAGGGACCCCAGCACCCTACTCCACTACGTTGAGCAAGCCGGTTGATAGTTCGACAATGGCACAAACTTATGCAAAGATTATCTTGCAAAAACACCAAAGATTACATCAGAGTACCCAACCTGCGCTAGCCCGTTTGCCACACGAGTTTCCGTTTGCTTTTAAGGAAAATCTTTCCACCCCAGCAGAAAGGCGGTTGTGCATTGCTTACAATTTTAGAACCAAAAATAGAAAAGTTATAGATCTACGCATACCCATACCCCCTCTAGATTTTATATATGAGGGTAGATTTGCTATGATTATGGATCATATTTCTGACCCAAATATTAAGGCTTTTGATTGGGTCTTGGGTCCATACGGGGTATACCACAATTAGATAGTTAAACATGTTGCTTAAGACCAAAATCAAGATTAGGCCTTATAAAGATGACCTTAAACGTTCTGCGTATACCTGTTCTTTTCGTTTCCAGCTTGATTAATTACATCGTCTTTCGTTCTTAATAGTAATAGTAATATAAGGCAGATACTAACGCAAACAATCACCAGAAAAGTTACTATAAATAGTAAAGTGGTTCCCTATCACAAAAATTCAAAAACGCAACTGTCACTGGAAATATTATTAAAAATGATAAAGTGTGATTCTAACGCAAGAAGTCACTAAAAAGTTAATAAAATAGTAAGTAAGTAGTAAGTCTAATGGAAAAATCACAAAAAAATTTACTAGAAATTGTAAAACCGACTTACCGACGTAAAAGTCAATAAAAATGTTACTAAAAAAATATTACACTAAAAGTGCTATAAAAAAACCAAAAAACCTGCAACACTTAGTCGTTTTCGTATAGGTAGCATTCAAATTACCACTTTTTCACAATGATGAAAGTTACTCTTTTTAAAATGGTATCCAGAAAGTATATATGCAAGAAAATGCTCAATTTTTTGTTGGAAATGAAATCGGTCGAGCGCTACAGTTTCCCAAGGGATTTTACGTGGTTTCCAAGCGAAATCTCATACCACTACTACATTCTTGAATCTTATTCTGAGACTTTCTTTTCGTCGAAGGATGACGATAGTGAAGATTCAGCATCTTTTACCCATTCCTTGAACTCGCTGCTAAACTTCTCCAGTTTCGGTTTCCCTGCTTGTAATTTTTGCAATATCATGGACACTATAGTCACAATTCCTTATGAGGCTTCATATTCGGCAGAGAGTGCTGCTTAAAACATTGAACAACGGTTTCATTGTCGATGGCTCTAGTCCACAATTTATTGCTCAGTGTATGCTATCCAAGAAATTATGATTTCGTACTTTTCTTGTACACTATGCAATTACATAACCATAACTTTAATAATAAATAAATAAATATATATTCATCCTGTAAGACAAACAAAGTGTATGGCACAAGT